GTGACAGAACGGATCAGCCAACATGAGGACTCAGCGGAGAAATGGCTCACTCCATCTACTGGTCTCCACTCTCTCCAGCCCCCTCTACCAGCGCATGCTCCAGCTGGATACCTTGAGGTCCCTCTGAGGGACTGATCTCACGGAGTTTGCCATGGAGTTCAGGAATGCTGCAGAGGGGCTGGTCTACAATGACTCCGCTCTTAAGGACCTATTCAGTTATGCCCTTGATGGCCGACGAAGCTGCCGCGCCCCCAGTGGTGGCTGAAGAGGTTGCAGTGCCCCCAGAGGCGGCAGACGAAGCTGCAATGCCACCCTCTCGGAAACGGAGGTGGAAGAATGGGTCCGCCTCGCCACCCCTAGAGGTGGCTGATGAAGCTGCAGCACCCCCGGTGGTGGCCAAAGAGGCTGCAGTGCTCCCGGAGGTGGCAGACGAAGCTGCAGTGCCACCCTCTCAGAAACAGAGGAGGAGGAAGAAGGCTGCTTCTGTCCTTCAAGGCCGGGAGCCATGCCGGCGCCGCCCAAGCTCAGGCTCCATGCCCTGCAGGCTCCGCCCAAGCTCAGGCTCCATGCTCCGCCCAAGCTCCATGCCCTGCCGGCTCCGCCCAAGCTCAAGCTTCATGCCCTGTCAGCTCTGCTCTTGCGGCCCCGCCCTGGCCTCCTGCCCTGCCAGTCCCACCCTGGAACCCTGGTTTACCTCTATCTCCAGGCCCTCTTCCACTACACGGGGCTGGCCCACCATTCCTCCCCCTGATCCACCTCCGTTCCGCCTCCCTCCGGGATTTCTTTTGGTGAAGCGTCTGGAATCCGCTCCTTAAGGGAGGGGTTCTGTCACAGTCTTCAGCGGGTGTGCCCAGGATGGCCACCACATGACACCGTTTTCTGTGAGCACGTGGCTTGTTGTGTTTGTTTGGTGCCATGTGCTCTCTCCTGTCTATTGTCTTGCCCCACCCATCTTGTTACCTCTTTATTGTTAAGTTGTTCCACCTGTGTCTCCCTTGTTAGCCTCCTCGTTTGGTTTCTCATTTATTCTCCTGGTGTCTGTAATCCTGTGCTGATCTGTCGTTTTTCATTGTGTGTTATGTCTGCATGTACTGCAGTTCCTAGCCTGCCTGTCTGTTTTTCCCCCTCTGGGTTGTTTGGTTTTTTTTATTTTATTTTTTTTCACCCCTTCATTTTATTATTAAAGAGAACCATTCATCCTGCACTTGAGTCCTTGCTTCATCTATCCACACTCACCGTGACAAAAATATGACAGACCGATCAATGCAATTACAATTATTTATTGCAAACATGTCAAAAGCAGTACCAAATATAATCCAAATGACGATGCGTTGCAGTTCTCTCTGGCGGAATACAGAAGGTTTTTGAGGTGCAGAGCACAATTTATGTTGTTAATTGCTGAAAATTTCCCGATTATTTTTCCGATCCACTCTGTGAAGGCGAGAGGCAATGAGCGTTCGATTTTCCTGCCGTAAAACCTGTCGTTTGAAGAGGCAGCATTTGTAAAGAGCGCGTCAGTCCGTGGGGGATTTGCTGCTTATGGTCACTGGACTCGCTGGCTGCTCGGGATGGAGATGACGATCGCCGAATAAAGGCTTGGATTTGGGTCTGTTCCTCAGTCGTATGGATTCTGAAGATTTAGATTACAGAGCAGGAATAAAATTTTCATTTTGTAATGCTTGCGTTTTTGGTGTATTTTATAGTTCTATTATCAGTAACATCATGTCGAAGAAAACGCCTTTTGTGGCCTATGGCAAACAAAGTAAACATTTCATGACAAGTAAAAGTTAAACGATTGCAGAAATGTTATTTATTATTTGGGTCTAAAGTGAGGTCTTGTTTAACATTATGTAGGCCTATTCTTGGAAACGAGCTGGCAGCAGAAATCATATAACAGAACGAAATGGTATCATTTCATATTAAGAGAGTAAACTATTTAATAATGCAATTTAAAACATAAGGTCATTTATATGACAACTAAAAACAACAATAAAATTAATGTATTCAGTATTCATTTCAGTATTCATAAGATTTATTTTTAGGTGTCGTCAAAATGTCCGTTTTGTATGTTTAAATGCTGAAAATGTAAGTATTTTACGTTTAGATGCCGATAATACGTCAGTATTTTACGTTTTAGTGCCTGTAAAAACATAAGTAAATGTATGGTTTTTTTTGGGGGGGGGGCACTTTAAATGTGGTCACCCAGGGCCTAGGGCACTACACTGTGTTAATCCGGGCCTGCTGAAGAGGACAGTTTTCCGTTGTTTATCGTGAACATAGTCTCTGAACTTTTGACCACCCCTTGTATGTTCAGACAGCAGGATTATTGTACCTTGTAGTTTACATTTAGAAAAGCGAGCGCAGCGCACCTGTGCATATAACAGACTGTCATCGGACTCCTCTTTAGTAACATCATCATCCGATCCTTTATCTCTGGATGTGAAATAGTCCATTATAACATCGTTAAGGGCACTGACATCAACAAGATTGAGCAAACTGAGACGAGCAAGATCGTTTAAGCGAGCAGCTACTTCAGACTGCATTGTTCTCTTGAGCTCCGCCATCTCACGATATTAAAAAATAAAAAAAACTTTGTGTGCCATAGTTTACACAGGACTGGCCTGGTGGGAAATGTGCATTGATGCACCTTTATTAGGCCTATATATGTTACATGGTTTATTTAGATAGTTTAACTGTGTTTGTGGTGTTAAGAGAAAGCACCTCCGCAGCGTGTTCTTAGGTGAAAGGCCGTCTTTTCTGCTTGCTGCAATTAATCGCTATTTTTATGCACTAAACAAGTGAATTTTACCAAGATATTTTCAGAGATGATAGACAAGATGTTATAGAATAATAATTTAATGAAAACCTAATTTTGACAAAAAATTGGCATTCAACCTATTTTTCAAATTTCCTGAAAACGTCCCAGCGCTACATCCGACGGGCTTTCCCAGATCGCATCTCAAATGTTAAAACACTTTTAAAGGGTTCCGCTGCAATGAGATGCAGAAGAAAACACAATTCACTACTCGCGCTATCAGATAAATATTGTTCTGTGCACACACTTGAAAAGCATGCACAGAAAGCTGGTCAGACAGTGTTTGCGTCTTCACATAAACAGTAATGAAGGTGAACAGCGAAGAAACCGTAATGAAATTTCTTCTAGCATGGTGGCAGCTTCTAATTATGAGGCGAGAGGAAATGGATGTTTCTGACATCTTGGAAGCAGCAGTTTACCTGGGTCAAAAATGACCAACACAATACACCAGGGCCATTTCTAGCCATTTTGACGCCCTAGGCAAAATCCCTATTGGCGCCCCCCATCCAACTCAAAATAACATAAAACTGATTATGTAAACACTCAATTCTTAAATAGCAACAGCTATTTATTTTTGCTAAAGAGCAATTTGAGGTTTTCACAAAAATTAGTTCATTAAGCCCTCGTCTAGCAATCCCAATGCTCCAAATAGAAATTAAACATCTAAAAGTATCTTTATTTGTACGTTTCTGAGAGGAGGAGTACCTATTCTCCATTCGCTTCCTCGCACTGACTGTCTTCCGAAGCGCACACATAAAAGACAACACCGATGGACCTCTATCCCAATACATAGGCTATACACAGGTTTACAGAAGGGTAAATATTTTTAAGTATTATACGCAAATATAATCTGTTATATCTTAGGTGAACAATTGGGAAACTGTTGTGGAAAAACATTGGATGTGTAACATTATATTAGATCCGTGCATTAAACTATGTTAAGACAGGCCGTCTGTCACATTAATGTTAATCACACGATAAAAGAAAAGAGGGAATCACTCACTGCCCCTGATTGAACTGCTTTTGTAGCTTTAATAATCTATTTATTTGTAATGAACACACTTAAGTGATTTTTACATTTTACTGTTTGTTTTTCTTACTTGAATGCTCATGTTTTTAGATGTAAAATGAAAAATTATTACACTACACTTTTTCTTTGTTATATTTGTTCTTTTTTGCATCAGTTGTTATTCATAACAATAAATATAAAAAAATAGCTAATATTAATCTAGTAGTGATTAAGAAAATAAATGGGGGAAAGATGTAATGTTGCTAGGTGATTTTGCTTTGGAACCTTCAGAAAACTTTAAATCGTTTTTTCTCTAGATTTTCTTTGCTGACTCCATCGACTTCAAACAGGTGTAGCTCATTTTTCATTTTCCGTCCAATTCCAACAAATTATACGTCATTTTGAAGGTCTTTTAATGGAGAATGTAAAAATAAAAACAACTTATTTTTGGAAATTTGCTCATTGTGACTCATTTTGCTATATAAAAGCATGATCCAGAGGCATAAAAGTAATCAGAATGCAGCTATTTACAGTATTTCTTTGTTACTCATTGACACGTGAACCTCCCCTTTAAATAACGTGACGCTCTGCCCTCTATGTGTATGATGTTGCTCCCTTCAAGCACTGATAGAAGTGAATGAATTGATTCAGCATTTCGACACTTCTGTAAGGATGCGTCAAATTTGACAAAGCAGTTTAATAAAGGATGTATTGATCTCGTGAATTACATAATTTTACTTTACCAAATATTTTTTAATTGGCTGTTAAAGTTTTATATGGGAATATTACATGACACACTGATCCTTTAACAATGCATTGGTGCAACATGTTTTTAAAGTGCAAGACAAAGGTAAAAGAAAAAAACTGTGTACAATGTCTTTAATGAAGGAATCAACTACAAACCTACAAAGCATTGCAAAAAAATAAAATAAAAACTGATTTTAAGTTGTTTATTCTGAGTATAAAAAAATTATGTGGTTTGAAGTCATTAAAAAATTTATATATACAAGTAGTTTACAAGTGTAGGGAGACGCATAATTGGTTACATCATTCATGGAAATTTGTCTGGAGGGTCATGAGTTCTGTAGTTCTTCACCAGAAACTGCCTGTTAAGAATTGATTTTCAGAAATTAAGTTTAATTAATTTAGTTCATGGTTGATCTGTCTTTACTTCCGGGGCCCAACTGTTGCACAATAAAATGTATAACACTAACACATCTCTAACAGAATCTTGTTCACTCTTTAGATTTGCTGTACCACACAATAAAACAGCTGGATCATGGGACAAAAGAAAGAGATTTTTCATACTGGATTTGTGTCTGCAAGCTGCGCTCCATCAGAAAGAGACAATAGAAGAAACTGTGAAGAAACTGCTGTCATCTGTGAACTATAAGAAATGTGATTTCCTGCTGGATCTGTGTTCACATGTGAAGGACTATGAGACTCAAACAGGCAGGAGTGTCCTTCCAGCATTACAGCCAATTTATCAGTCAGCTCCTGCAGTCTGGATCATAAAGCTCTCAGAGAGAAAGAGCTCCATCCTCCTAGAAGTGCTGAAACTCCAAACAGAGAAGAAACCAGTAGAGCTGATAGACTGCACAGATGAAGAGAGTGAAGTGAAGGGATTCCTGCAGTGTCTGCCCTACATCTCACAGCTGAGGTGAGACACAACATTACAAACTTTTATTTGAAACAAAAAAGTATTTAAAAACACACAAAAAGACAAGTGTGTTTTTAAAGTGCAGGACAAAGGTAAAAGAAAAAAAACTGTGTACAATGTCTTTAATGAAGGAATCAACTACAAACCTACAAAGCATTGCAAAAAAATAAAATAAAAACTGATTTTAAGTTGTTTATTCTGAGTATAAAAAAATGATGTGGTTTGAAGTCATTAAAAAATTGATATATACAAGTAGTTTACAAGTGTAGGGAGACGCATAATCGGTTACATCATTCATGGATATTTGTCTGCAGGGTCATGAGTTCTGTAGTTCTTCACCAGAAACTGCCTGTTAAGAATTGATTTTCAGAAATTAAGTTTAATTAATTTAGTTCATGGTTGATCTGTCTTTACTTCCGGGGCCCAACTGTTGCACAATAAAATGTATAACACTAACACATCTCTAACAGAATCTTGTTCACTCTTTAGATTTGCTGTACCACACAATAAAACAGCTGGATCATGGGACAAAAGAAAGAGATTATTGATACTGGATTTGTGTCTGCAAGCTGCGCTCCATCAGAAAGAGACAATAGAAGAAACTGTGAAGAAACTGCTGTCATCTGTGAACTATAAGAAATGTGATTTCCTGCTGGATCTGTGTTCACATGTGAAGGACTATGAGAGTCAAACAGGCAGGAGTGTCCTTCCAGCATTACAGCCAATTTATCAGTCAGCTCCTGCAGTCTGGATCATAAAGCTCTCAGAGAGAAAGAGCTCCATCCTCCTAGAAGTGCTGAAACTCCAAACAGAGAAGAAACCAGTAGAGCTGAGCGACTGGACAGATGAAGAGAGTGAAGTGAAGGGATTCCTCCAGTGTCTGCCCTACATCTCACAGCTGAGGTGAGACTCTTATAGGAAAAAGATCACCCATGCTTATTGTATCCAGTGCTCACAATAAATTTAATGTATTTAACTTAAATATTTTATTAAACAATATGTATGTGAACATGAACCAGAATTGAATTGCATATAATCACAAAAAACACTAAACTGACGTGTAGTTTTTTTCGACAGCAATATTGTCTGTTGTTGAAATCCTGCTGTCACCCTCATTCAGTCGTTTTTTCTGCTGTGAGAGGGATTGTGATCATATGTTTCTATTGTAGCAGCTTCATTCAGCACACAATTGTTTACATGTGCAGTTATGATGAAGCTACAGTGCATAGTCAAGCTACAATCTTCGTTTCTCTGTCCAAGTATATTTCACACAATACATGATCAAATGTTTGCAGTTTTAAATACATAGTATAGCACATTACTTCTTTCTTGCAGGACGTACAAGCAGAACAAAGAAAAACTATAATCGTATTATATAGGTCTGTTTATCGGACTGGTGCAATTTCATTCTGACATTTAAAAAGATGAATAATGGTTTAGTCCGACTGAAATCAAACATGTAAAGTGCATGTAAATGTGGCTACTGATGTAATGTAATACACAGGACACAACAGCACCTGACTTTACTGGAGCTGTAGATTAAGTGTTCACTCTCGTGATAGTCAGCACACAAACACTGTAGAAACTGTCTGTCTGACACAGGTTTACATTCATATTAACTGATTCAGTCACTTAAATTATTTTGAAGGAAATGAAGCAGTCAGAGAAATGAAGTAATTACATTATTTGATCAATTCAAATTTTATTTTTAACAAATCAAATTTTATTAAGTGGCTGTTTAATTTTTAGAAACCGAAGAGATGTGAAAAAATCCCAGAAAAGTCAAATTTTTAAAATTTTCATTTATTTTAGAATTGCATCTGATTTGCTGATGATACACATTAGTAGTCTCTAATAATAAGATGCTTGGGAGTTTGTTGTCAAAGGGTTATATTTCTATAATACATCACAGTGCCCTTACATCATGATCACCAGCTGGAGTGTCCTGGACATCCACCAGAGAGCACTCCTCACTACTCCATTCCCATTCTATTCTGGATTACCCTCTAATGAAGCTTCATTTGGATCTTTATTGTACAAGCCTCAGAGTATCAGAGTGTTTATGACAGAAATAGAATGGCAGTGGAGCAGGGAGGAGTGCCCTCTGGTGTGTGTGTGTGTGTGTGTGTGTGTGTGTGTGTGTGTTTTGTCCACTAACATTTTAATATTCTTTATTCTGTATATTGAGTGTGTTGTAGGTCTGTGTAGCAAATCATAATGTTATAATAAAGCATAATATAATAACTACAAATAAAGTAAAAAGTAGTACATTATTAATGTAATATCATTCAGTCGTTTTTTCTGCTGTGAGAGGGATTGTGATCATATGTTTCTATTGTAGCAGCTTCATTCAGCACACAATTGTTTACATGTGCAGTTATGATGAAGCTACAGTGCATAGTCAAGCTGCAATCTTCGTTTCTCTGTCCAAAGTATATTTCACACAATACATGATCAAATGTTTGCAGTTTTAAATACATAGTATAGCACATTACCTCTTTCTTGCAGGACGTACAAGCAGAACAAAGAAAAACTATAATAGTATTATATAGGTCTGTTTATCGGACTGGTGCAATTTCATTCTGACATTTGCCTGACATTTAAAAAGATGAGTAATGGTTTAGTCCGACTGAAATCAAACATGTAAAGTGCATGTAAATGTGGCTACTGATGTAATGTAATACACAGGACACAACAGCACCTGACTTTACTGGAGCTGTAGATTAAGTGTTCACTCTCGTGATAGTCAGCACACAAACACTGTAGAAACTGTCTGTCTGACACAGGTTTACATTCATATTAACTGATTCAGTCGCTTACATTATTTTGAAAGAAATGAAGCAGGCAAAGAAATGAAGTAATTAAATTTTTTCATCAATTCAATTTTTTTTTTTTTTTTTTTAAATCACATTTTATTAAGTGGCTGTTTAATTTTTAGAGACCAAAGAGATGCGAAAAAAATCCCAGACAAATCTAATTTTTACAGTTTAAAGTTTATTTTAGAATTGCGTCTGATTTGCTGATGATACACATTAGTAGTCTCTAATAATAAGATGCTTGGGAGTTTGTTGTCAAAGGGTTATATTTCTATAATACATCAAAGTGCCCTTACATCAGGATCACCAGCTGGAGTGTCCTGGACATCCACCAGAGAGCACTCCTCCCTACTCCATTGCCATTCTATTCTGGATTACCCTCTAATGAAGCTTCATTTGGATCTTTATTGTACAAGCCTCAGAGTATCATAGTGTTTATGACAGAAATAGAATGGCAGTGGAGCAGGGAGGAGTGCCCTCTGGTGTGTGTGTGTGTGTGTGTGTGTGTGTGTGTGTGTGTTTTGTCCACTAACATTTTAATATTCTTTATTCTGTATATTGAGTGTGTTGTAGGTCTGTGTAGCAAATCATAATGTTATAATAAAGCATAATATAATAACTACAAATAAAGTAAAAAGTAGTACATTATTAATGTAATAAAATGTTCAGGATGTAATAATTTTCTCAAAATAATAAAATCTTGAGATAATAATGTAAAACAATTTTACATTAGGAGAAATGTGTGACATTATAAACTAACCAAAACATTGTCATACTGAGATAATTGCAATATATTAAAAACACACACACATTGGTATTCCTTTACAGTACATTTAAAAAAAATCTATACTGTATCTCATTAAAAATGTCTTACTTTTTTTTTTTTATTAAACTACCTACCCAATGCGCCAGATATAAATATTCATGCAGTTATTACTATTACTACTACTACTGTTGTTGTTGATGATGATTATGTGGATATTAATTGTATAATATTATTACGTAATATTATTATTTCTTACATAAGCCAAAGACACTTGTATTTGGTAAAAGAGAATATTGCATTTTAATTGGACAAGAGCTATACATACTGTTTACTGTATCTCATTAAAAATGTCTTACTTTTTTTTTTTATTAAACTACCTACCCAATGCGCCAGATATAAATATTCATGCAGCTATTACTACTACTGCTGTTGTTGTTGATGATGATTATGTGGATATTAATTGTATAATATTATTACGTAATATTATTATTTCTTGCATAAGCCAAAGACACTTGTATTTGGTAAAAGAGAATATTACATTTTAAGTGAACAAGAGCTATACATACTGTTAGATGTGTGCAGTGCATACCAACACTACAAAACCTACATTGTAAAATAATAATAATAATAACATAGTATCAACATAGCAAAAGAAACCAGTAAATTAAAAGAGGAATCCTAATATTATATGGTAACAATAATAATAGTATTACACTTATTATATTATAAAGTAATTATTATGTTGTAAACATTGTTTTACTTCTACACTGATCAGCTACAACATTAAAATCAGCTGCCTAAAATCATGTAGGCCTCCCTTGTGCTGCCAAAATAGCATGAATATGGACTCCAACAGACCTCTGAACATGTTCTGTGGTTTCTGGCACCAGGATATTAGCTGCAGATCCTTTAAGTCCTGCATGTTGTGAAGGTGGAGTCCCATGGATCGGATCTGTTGGTTCAGCACATCACATAGATGCTCAGTCGGATTGAGATCTGGGGAGTTTGGTGGCCAGGGCAACATCTTGAACTCTTCATCATGTTCTTCAAACCATTTCTGATCAATGTGTGCTGTGTGGCAGTGAGCATTATTCTGCTGAAAGAGGCCACTGCCATCAGGGAACACCATTGTCATGAAGGGCTGTAGGTGCTCTGCATCAATCTTTAGGTAGTTGGTACTGTACAGTAACGTCTACATGAATGCCAGGACATAAG